TCCGGTCAAAAACAATAACTTCGTCTCATTTTATCATTCTAACAATCAAGAAAGAATAAAAAAATTTAAAATTTTGTTAATCGAAAATAATGAAAAACGAATTTATAATTGAACGGTCGTTTTATTCCAAAAGTTTAATAAGTTTCACAAATGAATACGAATTACAACCCAATTAACTAATTTATCAAAATTTATTTTGAATACATCTCAAGTAGCAAGTTCTGTAATTTACTTAGACACTACTCCTCCAGGACACTAAAACAAATCAAATAGAAAAGTTTCTTGCTGATGATGAAGATTTCCATGAGTTTCCGTATGTATGTCTGTTCAAACAAAAGAAGAAAATACTACAAATATTTAGAAACCAATCTACATAACAGTGCAAGTGGCTCCCATATAGATCATTTCGAGATTTGATTAATTCTGCCTGATGTCCACCTTTATCTTGATTTATGGCCAATAAACGTGCATTACGTAACAGAGATACACTGAAATTATGTAATATGACCATGTCAGCTGAGATCAGTAGTGGAGCAGCGAACATACACCACGTACCCATTTGCACTCGTTTATGATCGTCAAAAGAAATGAAAAATAATATTTTCTGATGGACACAGTTATATGATAAAAATTAGATAGGTTAACCTCCGTATGAATGCTTCAAGTGTACGACGCAAAATATTTTGTATAATGCATTTAAAAATAGATGTCTACGAACCTGACATACTAGTCACTACCTAGAATAGAGTCGTGATCGTATTATTCATTAATACGTATCACATGAGACGCCAAAAAATTGACTGCCTATCTGATCATTATGTTCATATCAACATTTGGTTATCAAACAACGGTGTAAAGCAGTCAGCATAACACATATTGGCATTTTCTATCTAAATCAAACATCTCAGTTTCTGTTTCAACCGGAATGCATTGTATGTATCTTCAAATGAAAACATCGGATATGCGTATTTAAAACTCTAGTGTCAATACGTTGATTAGTTGCAATGTATATTAAGGATATCCACATACTCTAGAGGAAAATTCATATAAGCGAAAATATAAGTAGGGACTGGTGTACACATCATTAATTTTAAAAGAGCTCTAAGGATACGTATCTATTTAAAAAATCATATCCAAAACATATTTCTGCTATCTATGAAAACTCCAGTAACTGAATACACGAAATCAGTCGTTTTGGAAACATGCTGATCTTAACATTTACATCAGATATAATCTCTGTTACAAGTCTACCTCCAGTCCACCATTCCATGAAGGCTGATTCATATATGAAGTGCACGACTTTTATGATGTCAAAACGGAACTTTAAAACAGGGCAAGTTACTAGCAAAACTATAATTACCAACCTTCATAAGGAACTCTTTCAAGATTCATGAACATCTCAATCATGTCTAAATCACGTGTTTTGGCTGACCAACAGTCATCAACAATGACATATGGATAACCCGAATCTCTTCAAATAATGGATACATATATGTCGGCTGTACGTTTGATTAATATCTCTCATTGATAAAGTCTTCTGAATAGTCCTGACAATCATTTTGACTTCGATGTTGTTGCCATGTCATCCAACTCGCTGGTGGAGATCTGGATATTCTGTTATCTAGACTGGACACACAACTGAGAGTGTGAATAACGAAATACAAAACCAAAACCTTCGAATGTGAATTTCGAACACAATAGGTTTGCAAGCATAAGTAACTTTGAGTATTTCGGCGTTTCAACTACTCTCGATTTGACGGCTGGTGTTGAACTACTTGAGAGGTAACTTGTGAATATAAGCAGATATTTATTTCTTATCAGAGAAGTCTTAGAATTTGTATCAAAAATTTATGATAGGCCACATGGGTAAAAATAAACTGATCAGTAGTCAAATTACACATTTCAAAGAAGCAAAACAGTACACTGTACAGCGATCAGTTTTATGATTACTGAAAACTAATACTTGCCAAAGGGAGGTTATATGTAGAGATAAATTGTTGTCGGAAACAGATCTTACTCGCGATCCGGTAGACTAAACGACACTTGAGTCAAAATAAACATACTACTTTTATTGAGTCAACTGATGTTTGATATTAATTTAACGATAAATAAAAACAGCATAACTGAGAGAAATGCTGAAACCTATTTCATGCAAATTACGTTGCTGGATGTTTTACTAGATGGAATTCACAGTGAGCTAGTAATAAACAGATTGTTATTGTGAATACATGCCAGACTGAAGTAAAATGAACGTCATACAGGACAAAACATCAGACATCACTACGAGATTAATGAAGCGTTTTGGAATAGGGATAGCACATAAATCAACGAAATCACTTCAAGCAATCCTCTGCAATCCAAAGGAGGAAATGACAAAAAAAACCCCGAACATCATCTACAAACTAAATTGTTTCCGAATGCAAAAAACACCACATCGGACAAAGTGGAACCCCCCTCTTCGTTTTCGCCTGCATGAATATCAATTGGAGGTCAAACGCTATGACATACTCTCGATTATATCAACGCATGTGGACAACTTTGAGCACACATTCAACTGGAAAAATGTTGAGAACTTGGATAGATAGAATTCTAAAACACCAGAGAATTTTCAGAAGCTTGACATTCAGATCAATCAGAAATCAACAAGGACATTGAAATCGACCCAATTTATTAGCCGATCAGAACAGATATGAACAAATAAAGGACCAAGAAACAAATCAATGAGATACACAATCAAAATAAAGAGGTAAACAATGACAGGCTAAAAGTCAGTAATGACCAATCAACATCGAGGTCAACAGGACAAGCTGTGAGCCATATGTGGAAAAATTTGAACGCTTTACCATTACCTAAAGTTTGTGCTAATGAAAGATCCACGGCCAAATTATCCAACTCAAAGAACAAAACTTTGCTAAAATCACCCACATGAGCTACAAATCTTCTCCACCATTTCAAAATGGTTAATTTTCTTTCAATCAATACGTCTCACACTTCTGAGACATTTTACCGACAAAGTAATCACGTTCAAGATGTAATTTATCGATATACGTTTAAGAAAATTTGTTTAAAAGTGAAACAAAGATCTATATTTCACACCTAAAATCACCTGTCTACCTGCCCAATAAATAAAAATATGGCAAAAAAGTTTGATGTTAACTTTAATGTCAATCAAATAAAGCATTAGTGTGTAAAGCACAGAAGGTGATTATGTAATCATGATTCAGTAGTTTTATTAGAGAACTATTAGACACCTATTAGACTATCAAATATTTAAGGGTTGTCGTTGAAAATATGTGTGGTACCCATGAATTCTCTACATACTGACAACATAGATTTCATACAGTTTATAACATTTACAAGAACACATGAATGTTTTAAGAGTTATCAAGCTACCATGAATTCATCTGTACAGATCAAAAGCGTCCAGCTTGATGATTTCGTGATCGGAAAGTATGATGTGTATACAAAGCGGTCTTTAATGTTCGGACTTAAAACCATGTGATGACAGATTGTGAAAATATACATATGAAATGCATGCATCGGTTAGGTTGTTTAGTGACTCAGTTTTGACAAACATTTCACAGACATAGACTACTTAGACAGATGCCAAGTTGATGTTCACCTGAAACTGATCTCCACGAATATCGTCAAGTATTGACTTATCACTCTTATTATACTATAATAGATATAGATGTACAATTCGAAAACCGTTTATTCCATCATCTGACAAACGCTTTTACGAGTTAACTTAGTTCTGAACTCGACTTACTATCCCATCTCTATGCGTTTAACTGAAATATTCCATTAATGACTAAATAAAACAATGATACCTTTACATGTTAATGATAACTATGATGTAATTACTTATATTCTTCGTAGAATTGAGTTAAACACTTAAACAGTGCCTATGTTACTCCAAAGTATATTTAGTGAAACTATCGCTCTTCTGCTTAACTTCACTAACGACTTACACCAGCTAAAGTGTTTTGTGTGAGTGAAATGACACTTCTGTGACGTAGATAGCAACAATAACCCACGAAACTACATATTTCATTCACCTCAGTTCAACATTCACTACATTTATTTACTGATTGGGCAAACAAAGTTGGTCACCACTGATAATTGTTGAAAACAATATGAAGTCAGTTTTGTTTGTGGCAATACAGTAATTTCAAAATACAATCAGAATTTCTTGTCAAAATAGTCTCGAAGAAACATTCGAGTTAATGAAAGTTTTTTCACGTCCGATCATTTCACAAGCGATATATAAATAAGCGGTTACGAATACCGACTATGACCAACACTAAGAAGAGTCCAAATCAACACATGATTTAACCTCTGTTTAAAATAAGGTGACGCTACATGGATTCTTTTCACAACACAAATTTATGTTGAACAACTCTTCAAATTTGTGCTACAAAGTCATGTGTTCTCAATGTAACTAACCATACAACTCAATATATATTTACCCTATGTAACTAAAACAGTAGACAGAATACACTGCGGTATAATATTGACTGAAATCCAGTCACCTAGTATTCCTTAACATCTTAAAGGAGAGATCGACATGGAGCATTACCTCACGTCTGAATAAACTTAAAAACAAAAAAGAAGTCATGAACAAAATAACACTTGATGAGATGAGCAAGAATACGTTTATCAATAGTGGTCTCATTGACTTCACTACTCATCGAATATAACATCAGGTTTTCGTTCATTCATATACTACTGGCTCATTATCATTTTTATTCATGTAAGATCAATCAATAAATCCGTGCGTCACTGACTACTCCCAATAATTTCAGCGATTACTTCACAACATTACTAAAATATCGATAGTATTTTGCATCGTAGCAAGTGCTTCAACCGAAATAAAATCACATCACACTAATGAGATAAATGACCGAATGGATGGATTTCTAGAACACTATGTATTAAAATAGTTATGTCAATCAAGAACTGTTCAGTTTATATGATATTGAAGTAATGAAGTGGATTTCTTAAGGCGATAAAAATGTCTGAAACGGTCCATCAATTTCTTCAGAAACAGTCTCTAGTTGAACACGTTTAACTCGATACATCATTATCCCATTTGGATTGATGGAAATCATAAACTTCTCTCTTCGTTGAATCACTTTCAATTTATCACCATTGAACACATCCAATAATTCAAACTGATCTCCAGATATCCTATACGATCGTGATTTGAATTCACCAAGACTTGTGTAAAAGTGAATTGGTCCACCACCATCAGTTGTGTAAAGAAAAGCGATTGCCCAACCAATTGGATCTCCATCTAATTGTCTCATCCACATCTATATGAGAGAAGCATTCAAACAAACGGAAAAGTTTTGTTCACGTAATGTATTTAAGAAACGTACCACCACTTTACCTCATAACATTTGAGGAGGACATGAAATAAAACGCAAGACAATGCTCAAGAATGATAAGAACTGTGTCATTTAGAAAAGTGTATAATAGTTTGAAACAATTGCTCACTTTCAAATTTGATACGCAGTCGTTAATGGCATATCAACATGGATTTCGATCATTTGTTATCGAGAGTCAACTCCTTGGAAACTGCATCCACTACTTTACGAAGTGGTTGGAAGTCACATCACTTTGTCTATTGTCTTACTGTGAATTAAAACCCGTTGATCTAGTTGTGACATGACTGCTCGTCTGACTAAGTAGAAATCACAATCAAGTGATTTCGATTTCGTCTAGTTATGATTGGTTAGAACAAAGTCATCCTGTGTTATGCAGTGGTGAAGTCTCTAAACCCACATGTATCGGTTGTTTGGATCTTCGCATTGATGTTTACGACTACATTTGATCAGTCTGTTTTGCTATATGTTTATTCTGTTTGAATTACCTCAAAGTTGCCAGTAAGTTGTAAGCTTTGTAAACAGAGGTGTATGGTGGGTGAGACTGAAGTCGGGGACTCGAGTTCCATCCAATTCGGATCTTTTCAGTTGAAGTTACCTGCATTCAAATTTTGCCATTCAATGTGGGACTCCAACCCATGACCACTCGTTGTAAATGTCCTCTCAGTCCTCAGTACCAAACGAAAGATTTGAATATCCGTATATATATGAGATACAATAAAAATCATCCGACTGCACAAGCCAGTGGCTATCTGGACTCAGTAACGTAACGAAAAACGGGAAAACGTCTGAAGTGGTGGAGAAGATTTGTAGCTCAGGTGGATGATTTTGATGGAGTTTTGTTCTCAGAGAACAAAACTCCATCAAAAACGTCTGAAGTACTGTGTTCCAATGAACTGACGAACATCAAACTGTGATACAGGGACATCCGGCTGACGAGTCCCAAATATATCAAGACGCGCGTTCTGGATTCCACTTTTACTCATGATCCATCTCTGTTTCAGATAAATACTCTAACAGCCACATTTTTAAAAGTTTGTTTAAATCTCTGGAGGATTGTCACTTCAAAAAAGAAGACCACAGTCTTATTTTACTGATATGTCCGAACAAGCACAATTTCACACTGATACACCACATTGTTGAAATTTATTAGTACAATAGTATGATAAACTCACCTGTACATCATCTCGTGATCTGATGAATTCCGCCTGATGTCCACCTTTATCCTGATCTATTGCCAATAAACGTGCATTACGTAACAGAGATACACTGAAATTATCTAACTTTTCCATGTCAGCTGAGATCAATAGTGGAGCAGCAAACATACACCACATACCCATTTGAACTCGTTTCTGATCATCTGAAAGACCGAAGTTTCCCATCAACAACATATCAGGATCATTCCAATGTCCTGGACCAGCCAACTTCGGTAACACATCATTTTGGAGTTTATATGCGTTTATAATACTGATAACCGATGACCAACTATCTTGAACGTCGCCCAGCATACGCCACAAGTTACAATTGTTCTTCAGTCTCTTCCAGTCAATCAAACTAGTATTTTTCATCCAAGGAATATAAGCAGGATAACTGCATGAGAACACTATTGGTCTGCCAGTTGCATTCAATAATTTGGAAAACTTTCCATAACCCTCTGGCATACTTTCTTGCGGACTGTTACATCCATCCATCTTTACATAATCTGCTTCCCACTTAGCCACACTATCGGTATCCACCTCCAAATAATTCATACTTCCTGGATAACCTTCACATGTTTGAGTTCCATAATCGAGATATATGCCAAATAGTAGATGTTTAGAATGTAAGTATTGTCCAACACTTTTAATGCCCTACAAACGAAACATATCATACAGATTATCAAATTGTGAACCAATCCAAATGGAAATAGTAACCAAACTACGACATTCAAACGAAAAAACACGAATTATGCACCACATACGAAAGATAATAAATAACAACTCACATTCGGAAATCGTTTATAATCTGCAACTATTTCATTTGTCTTCGAATCCCGTTTCCGTTCTGGCCAACAATCATCTATTATTACATAACGATAACCTAAATCTCTCCAACCATCTAATACTAGTCTGTTAGCAGTACGTTTAATCAACTTTTCACTAATACAATCATCTGGGTAGTTGTGACAATCAATTTGACATCGAAATCGTTGCCATGTCATCCAACCCATTGGTGGTAGTGTTGCCATTCCATTATCCAAACACAATACACATGAGGCAGTGAGAATGAACACTTCCAAAACTATCGTTAAAATGTGATACCTATAAACGAACAATAAAGGCTACATGCTGACAAAGAAAGAAACAATTAATCAATTGAAGTGCATAAACATATGAAATGTATGTAGGCATAGCTTATTACACAATAAGTGGTGTGTATTTTCATCTATCAACTTTTACTGAAGTATGTATGATTATACATAAGCGAATAAACAACTAAGTAAATATCTATGTTACAATATGTGAACTATTGTAACGTGTATCAAGTACCGTTGACTAATTCTAGTGGTAACGTTGAGAATACAAATATCTGATCAATCCACATATTCAGCAGATGCAATTTAGGAGTCACAGATTTTAATCCATCAGAGTTAATTTCTCAGTTAATCAAAGACGTCAACCATTCCAACCGAAATTATCGTGTTCCATATTTGAGTGAAATAGATGAGTTAAGACGTCGTTTATATAATGAAAATTCAAATACTAGAAAGAAAAGTGTAATCATGTCAAGACCATGTCGACACACACACACTGTTCATCTAACTGTGATCTTTATATTGTCGAAATAATGAACAAATATTCAGAGAGCCAGCATTCTCAGACGGCACTTCTTCCAACTGACTATAAGACAGTGTAAAATTGTGAGTTGAGGGAAGTGGTAGGAGGAATGAAGATTTATGGGGTGGTCTAAGGATTGGATAAACAGTGGTTGGTCAAATGACATTAGTAAAATACGATACAAACTTGAGATTTTGTGCCAACTTAACAAGCAAATGAACGGTACATAATAATGATGTTAATATTGTAAAATTAAAATCACTTATTATGACGCTGTTTAATTGACGTAGTTAATGACCTTTTATACGATAGGCATAGACTATAAGCTTTATAGTTTATGTTTTGTACGGACAACCAGCAATCCATGGTCTTATAAGTACTACATGGTATTTTATTTGTCGGCATGAAAATGTTAAATAGTCGACTAATAACATATCGATTGACATTTCTTCGATTAACTGAACGCCACATTGAACTCTTCAAGTGATTCCTAAGTATATTTCTCAATTATCGTTGTCAATGTAAAACCAAAAGTGAAACCATTGAGCGAGAGATAAGTTAAAATAAACAAACAGGAATTTCATTCTCTGTCAACAAGGACTTTGAATGTTTATCGTAAGTGAGAATCAGTTGTTGGACACTCATTTTATTGAATTCATAACAACCAATTACCATCTAAAAGAAATCGCATTGAATCTCCATGATTGATACTCTTTGATATGATGATTACAAACAAACGATTCCCTCAAATGCTCAGGTACGGCAGAGAAGTAGGGAGAGTACACTCTCTCTCTTCAAATGCTCTCACATAGCCACGAGTATATAGCCTCTCCCACGGAAGTCCTACTCACTGCATCCTCGCACCACGGAGTATTGTTTACCGAATTGAGAGGACAGAAAACGAGTAAATAACTGTCGAATGATGACAACATCACTGAACCTACATCATCTACTACACCGTGAACACACATAAAACACATAAAATCCTATACTTTTTGAACATTCATAAACACCTCAGTCTGTAATCAATGAGAATAATCATACAAAATTATAGACTCATTGCAATCTGAACACGTTTTTGATGATTCAACACACACAATGCAACTGTAAAATAGACTTTAGTAGACACCTTCAATACAAATATTCTTATTCAAATACAATTCAATGTTATGCATTTGCAATGTAAAAGTCAAACATTATTCACATTTACAACACTTACATTCTACTTGAATTACCCAGTTAGCTAAACTGTGAACACACACTTATATATATATATATATATATATATCTGATTTATTCCGTACGACATGGTAATTGGTTCAATCAGTCATATCAAACTATTCGTTAATTTGCCAACTGAACTAGTTATCTAGCGGATTAGTTACATGAAATAGAATGGAAACAATTTTCATTCTATTGATCATAGGTCATGAATCAATAATGTGATTTGGGTGACTGAACTAATTCTATTCTAATATGAACAAATAAAGCGAATCATTCAGTTTTATTCATAATTATGAAGAATGAATTCAGATTGATTGATTGTTTAATAATTTTATATGATGACAAATGATGAAATGGTATACAATAAAAATAGCCAACTTAAAACCAATACAGGCAAGATTTATTTATTATTATTTATTTGAACATATAAATACTGGCACAATGGTGTACAAGATACATATGCTCTACATAAATCTCATTTGATTTGTATGAGGGTTGTGATACTACCCGGCTGCACAAACCGAAGAAGATGGTTCACATAGGGGATCAAACTCGGAGCCTTCGACCTAAAGGTCTGATTCACAAGGCAGTGGAGTATGGTAAGGAGATGCAGTCTCGTGGTAGCCGGTGATCAACGATTGGTTCATACGCCATTTGTTCCCTCAGGATACTGGAGACCATGTGCACGATCTGTTTGAAGTGAGGGTTTTCCAACTCCCCTAGGTGAACTGTTCGTGTCCACCAACCCGATTAAAGTGCTGGGCACTCGTTTTCTGTCCTCTCAATTCGGTAAACAATACTCCATGGTGCGAGAATGCAGTGAGTAGGACTTCCGTGGGAGAGGCTATATACTCGTGGCTATGTGAGAGCGTTTGAAGAGGGAGAGTGTACTCTCTCTACTTCTCTGCCGTACCAGAGCATTTGACGGCTTCAAGTATCAATGGTAAGATTATAATCAATGGCCGATGTATGAATCAAAATTGAAATTCATCCGTTGTACAATACTCACTACTGAAATGAAGCTCTTTTTTACCTTCTTTAAATTTATTTGTGAGTCGTTCATTGCACTACCATATCCATTAAAATATATTGTTATTTTATTTATCATTACGAAATAGATATTAGAATATTAAAGACTCGCATTGTGAAAATTAGAACAACATATATAAGCGAACAATATTGTTTTCAATTAGATCGTCATCAGGCCTTTTCTCTAACAAACATGAATATTTATACGAGAATGTTAAACCAATCAAGGCAAAATGGCTCAATAATCACAATGAAATAGAATAAGTCACTACACATAATAAGTAAAATTACAAGTCGGTAGTAGGAAAGACAAGTGTACTGATAGTAAGTAGTAAGAATAATAAAATATGATAACAAAAGTCTTATCAATAGTTAAACATTGGAAATAGAAGATCAAACAAACATGGGTAAATAGACTTGGAAAAGTAATCACAAAACATTAACATCATTATGTCAGTCAGTCAGTCAGCTACAACGTAGGACCAGGCACATATATGCATCGGTCCAGGTTGCCATACCTAATTAACACAACAAGATGGACACCGGATTCATAAAAGTAGTTAATTCAGAGGTGGTAATATATAAAAGAAAGATTGCAATAAGGGTATAGTACAGGAAGAAAGAATTAGTTCGTAGAAAGAAAGATATGAAGCGATTTTAATCTCTTAGTTTAAGGGAAGACAGAGAGTGTATACACCGACGCCATTGTGATCGATTCTGAGCCATGTCACCAAGAGTCTATAACTATTGGTTACGATAGTTACTCGGACCCCAACCAAGTAGTCTGCATCTACCAACATGGCTCAGACTAGGTTAGTGACTTCAAGCACTGATGCCACGTTTTGGTTTGGCCGCCCCTAACTTTCTTCCAACCATTTCCAATACCGGATAGCATTGCACGTCGTGGTAATCAGTGTTCGGGCATACGTAACACAAGACCCAACCATCTCGGTCGATGAAGATTAACAACCTCATAAACTGATTTACCATCATTCCCTAATACCCTGCGTCTAACCTCACTATTACTTACCCGGTGATCCCAGCAGATGCCAGCAATATTTCTAAGGCATCTGTGGTCAAATACTAATAGCTTACGAGTGTCTTCTACTCTTAGTGGCCATGTTTCGCTGCCGTAAATTAAAACAGAACGGACTGCCGTGCAGTATACTCGTCCTTTTATTGATAGACGGATATCTCACCTTCGCCATAGGTGACGTAAGTTGGCAAAAGCCAAAAGAGCTTTTCGGATCCGTGCTGAGATTTCGTCAGACACCAACCCATTAGGGCTGATCAGACTTCCAAGATAAGTGAAGTTGTCAACGCGTTCGACTACTTCACTCCCTATCCTTAGTTCAGGTGTTGACCCAGACCAGTCCTGAAGCAACAACTTGCATTTAGAGGGAGAAAAGCGCATCCCAAACATTCTGGCATTGTTGCTCAATGCTACCAGAAGACTCTGCATTTTGTCAGCGTCTTCACCAAACAGGACTATGTCATCTGCGTATTCTAAGTCGATAAGTGGACCTCCTGGAAGGAGATCAATACCCGAGAATTCAGTCGACGAGAGTGTTATTTCCATCAATAGGTCTATGATGAAGTTAAACAAAAATGGAGAAAGCGGACAGCCTTGACGGACACCACTTGAAGTTGCAAAAGTAGATGACAGTTCGCCATAAGCTCTCACTCGACTAGTAGTGTTCGAGTAAAGAGCCTTCACAAGGTTCATGTACTTCTGTGATACGCCTTTCAATGACAGACACTGCCACAGAATCTCGCGGCCTACAGAGTCAAATGCTGCTTTTAAGTCAAGAAAGACCACTATTGTCGGACGCCGATAAGTATGCCTGTGTTCTAGAACCTGACGAATGGTGAATATGTGTTCGATGCAGCCACGACCAGGTCTGAAGCCAGCTTGAGTCTCTCGTGTTTGCAGTTCACGAGTCTTAGTTAGGCGTCTAATAACTATCGTGGCTAGTACTTTAGATAATATATTAGTTAAACTAATCCCTCTATGGTTGTCACAGGATGATTTTGACCCTTTCTTATATATTGGGACGATAAGTGATTGCGACCAGTTAGATGGAATAACGTCTAACTTCCAGATATTAGCTAAAATATTAGTCAACCTAATCGCCAAAATTGGACCACCTTCCTTGAAGACCTCTGGAGCCAATCCATCTGGACCAGCTGCCCTTCCTCGTTTCAGACTAACTATAACCTTTTGAACTTATGCTAGAGTTGGGGGACCTACTTCAATGTTCCATTCCCACTGTCTGGGAATGGAGGGTAGTTGTAGAGTCGCTGAAGGCCAGCTGAACTGTTCTCTGAAATGTTCTGGCCTCGTTCTAAACGTCTGGACTGAGAGCAGATGAGGGTGTCGTCTTTTTCCGAAATAGTCTGACTTACACTTGACTTATCAATTCCAGTTTCTTTTATTAATCTGTAAAGCTGTCTTGTGTTCCCTATAGTCGCCGCCTTTTCCATCTCTTTTGCTTTCGTTACCCACTACTGCTCACGGTCGTACTTTAGACTTTTTCTTAACCTAGATCTGATTTGTTGTCGCTCTTCATCATGTTCAGAACCTGATGGGACGAGTTTGCGAGAATCCATCAGTGTGATAGACCTTGAAGAAATCCACTGGTTCTTCGTAACTCTGTGGTTCAAGTCTCTAATAGATGTCACTGCTGTTTTCACAGCTGATTGTATACCTTTCCAAGAAACTTCTGGGTCAGCCTCGTCTTCAGAACTATCTATGCGTGACCTCAGTTGTTCCTGGCACGCCATATGAGACGATGTCTCTCCTTATGCTTAAAATTTGTGTTTGCTAAAAATAAACGATTGTCTGAGCATAGTTTCAGCAGACGATCACCATTATCTGTTCGCTGTGCCGATATACTAAAATACCCACCTAAATGCCTTTCTGCTTGGTTTAAACTACCTAACTGGGCATTAAAGTCACCTGCTACGAGTACTATGTCTGAGCGTTTAGCTTTCTGAAGAAGTTCAGAAAGCTTTCTGTAAAATTCATCTTTCACATCTTTTGAGCTGTAGTCAATAGGAGCGTAGGCAGAAACGACAAAAAGGCAACGACATGTGTCCCTACCCTCCCAAGTTCTTACGGAGCCGTTTAGCCGAACAGCACATAAACGACTGTTAACGCGGATCCACTCTAACAGTGCTTGTTCGGCCCTCATGCTTAGTGCTATCCCTACTCCTGCCAGTCCACGAGAACTGGCCATCGGGTCACCAGATACACAGAGGGTGTATCTCGTTGGCTCTCTGTTTTGTCGAGGGGAGGTCAAGTGAATGACCACACTGGGATCCTGTATGAGTGTTTCAGAGACGCATCACACGTCAATGGTAAGAGACTCTAGGGTTTTAGCCAAGGAAGCCTGCTGACCGATTTGACATAGGGTGCGTACGTTGAAGGCTCCAATGTGTAGTTTGGAGCGATGTTTCAGTCGACCTGGGACAGCGTTTTGAGCACTAGAATCGTTGGCTATGGTGACATTTGAGGGGGAAGCCAAAAAAGGAAGTTTAGAGGTGAAAGTCGATGTAGGAGGAATAATGGAAAGTGAAGACGGTGGTTGATTATGAATACAGTGGTCTTGAGTGATGTTAGAGGTATGAGAGCGGTTATCACTTCCCGGTTGCCCACACCGTGGAAGGGTTCTTCTGGAGGTACCGGAAAAAGAAATTGGGTTAGGGGTGATCTTAGTGACCTGAGTGATTTATACCAGTGCTCAAGGGACAACTGCTTGAGGTTGGCCACACACTAACGTTTTGCGAGTAGTTTTCATGTTAGCTCCGTACTCGTTGAGACCTTACCGCCGGAGACGGATATCCGTGGGATAAGGCGAGGTGTGCATTTTTAGGGTCCACCCTTTTTAACCCCACCCCTCCTTGTGGGAAGGCAGCATCGCTGTCATGCTGGTTGTCTGAGGGAAACACCTAACTGCTGTCACACCTCTG